ACACACACACACACACACACACACACACACACACACACACACACACACACACACACACACACACACACACACACACACACACACACACACACACTTTCAGTCTTGTTTTTTAATCTAATACCTTTTTTTCAAGGCTTTGAATGCAGGACCTTAACTCTGTTGTATTGCTACTCCGGTCAGATATCTGAGGGTGTAGAGATCTACATTAGGAGTAGATAATGTGAAATGAACCCCACTTTTACCCAGAGAAACATTGAAATGTAACAAATCGTATTTTTGGAAGCTAATATCTGTTTTCTAAGGTTTTGAATACAGGACTGTATTGCTGCACCAGTATAATATCTGAGGACTAACAGGACAGACTCTGGATCAGCGCGGCGGTCACACAGAGCCCCATCAGCAGAGATGTTGATGTTTTGACCCCCGCTCTGCTCTCCAGCTGCAGTGTGTAGTCAGCCAGCACTCGGGTGAACCCCCTCTCCTCCGACACACACCTGTACGTGCCCTCCTGCTCCGGACTCATCCTGGGGATCAGCAGGAGGCCCGGGGAGATCCTCCAGGCTCCAGGAGGTGTTTCTCTCCAGGTGGATCCAGGTGTACTTGGCCTCATGAGATGAAACTGGGCACTGCAGGAAGTATTTGGAGTTCAGAGGGAGCTCGATGCTCTTCGTCACATCGTCTCTCCCAGGTGGATATTTACTCACTGAGAAGAGAACACATACAATCATTTAAAACATATCTTCTTATACTCCGATTGCCTTTTACACCGTTACATTGTATTTTTAGTCTTGTATGTGTTTAACAGAGACATATGTTAAGGATTTACATTTCTGGAGGGCAAAGGAAGTGTAAAAGGGGGGGGGGTTTAAATGGTTAAGGACGAGGGGGTTTAATGGTGGGGATGTTAGATGATGAGGGTGGGACCAGTTGGCTCTCTTCTATACAGTGTGACTGTAATCTGTGTTCTGGTGCAGTCATTGTAATGCAATGTCTAATAAATATGTAAAAATGTGTATATTACAATATATACAGTGGTGTAGTATCAGGTGTACAAATACTGTTGACCTTTCATAGTAATAAGGAAGTGTTTTTTTTTGTTGATGGCAGAAACTAGAACAGGATTAGGAGAATAGAGAACTGAATCAGAGGTTAATTTAAATTCCTACCTGCTTTCTTTTTAGTTTGATTTGGTTTCATATGTTCCCAAGCTATTCCTCGTTGTCAGTGTTTTGGTTTGTTTTGTAGAAAAGTTTATAACATTTTGAGTAAAGAGGTAAAAATGAAACTTACATTTTGTTCTACCTTTTAACTTGAAGTGCCTTCATCATTTCAAGTGTTCATTGTAGAACAAAATGATCTCTACACCGGGAGAATAATCAGCAGGACTACATTTTTCAGTATTTTAGAGAATACGGGATTAAAGCTCTTTAAACTGCAGCAAAATATGGTAACATGGTCATGGATGAAATTTGAATATAGCAGTGACATGCGGGCAAAACATTGCATGTTCAGCAAGATAACACACACTTACTGGAAAGCGGCAGATATTTGTTTGGCAAATTTCCCATATCATTTAAAGCAGGGGTGCATTTGCCACTTGATTGACGTACAGGTAAGCCAGTCTGAGTTGTATTGTGCCATACGGGTTCATGCAGTTATGAGGGGGCCTCACCTCCTCATCTGAAGCGCAAATGCCACAGTGTATCTGCCGTTTAGTCCACTAGCCCCCCCCCGGCGCTCGCGACACAGATTGGGCAGGGGCGGCCCTGTAGGTAGATCTTTTGGGCTTGGACATTTTAAAAGTAGCTCCCAAGCTGAAAAAGTGTGGGCACCCCTGGCATGCGTTGAGATAAGATGTCTTAGTATCCGCCACACAAACACAGCAATATTTAATAAGCCTGAAAGACGTGACGCAGTGGCAGAAGAGAAAAACTGTAAATCTAATTTCTCGGATATAGAGACAAGAAATTGGAGAGAAATAAGGTATAAGAGTAGTGTGAGTATCTTTAGAAGAAACACTTTTGGTAGGCGAGCTTAAATGAGTTGTGTTTGAAGATCATTCTGTTCATTTGGTGATACATATGCATGTGTTGAGAGAAGGTGATTGATTTTCTCTCAGTGTCTAAAATTAAAATATAGTATTTATGCAGGCACACACACTTGTCGAATTGTATGATATTATAGGAGCACACACACCTCTCCGAAACACACATTTGACTGCCTTCCTGCACCCACTAAGCTTATCAGGCAGGGACATATGTAAAGCTCTGTATACTTTGACTCAAGGCAGTTATTAATGCGCAAAGTATTTGCATATTACTGAATGATCCTTTCTACAGAAAGATCTATGTTATCCTAATACAGGCCTATTGTGTTCCTGTGCGTGATGACAGAGTCAAGGCAGAGCTGCAAATGTGTGTCATATTCACATCTGAGTGCACAGACTTGTCCCAGAAACTCCTTACAAATATAGAACTTGCAGGAAGGAATGGATAAAAGTAAAGAAAATAGTATTTGGTTAGTCGGCCTGCACTACAGCCTTAATGAATATCAACTGAAAAAACAGAAATACATGCAGACTATCTACTGATGTAAGGTTGCAGAAAACCACGTGGTAGATAACATCAAAACTACATTTGGTAGATAACAGATCAAATCCGCTCTCATTCCTGTGTGTTATAAATCCAGTAGCCTTTTAGCTTAGTTTAGCGACTAGCAGTTTCCATCCTTTTCCAGGAACCTGGCTTTATCCAATGTTCACTCAAGAGTTCTACATCCTGACACATCCTTCATCTACACTGTCTCAACTGAAAGAGGACCAGAAACACATTAAAAATATTATAAAATGTGGAGACTTTGGGATATTTATCTCCCATTCTTTTACTTTTCGGGCATTTTACAGACATGCCGTTGATGTCACTGTTTACCAAACTACCACTCTTTCTGAAGAAATACATGGTTTATTATCCATGCAGTGTTTCCCACAGAACTTGATTCTATTTGTGGGGGCACCGCAACCCCCCCCCCCCCACCCCAACGTTCTTGTTGCTCTGTGTTGCGTTGTTAATGAGTGAGACACACCGGAGTTGAGGATCTGTGGGATTTATTCTCCCAAAAGTATTATTTACAATTCAGGCATTTACAATGACCAATTACAGGGACATCCTCCCTGGAGTAACCGAGGGCTAAGTGCCTTGCTCAAGAGCCCACTAGTAATGATGTTCCAGGCAGGATTTGAACTCGCAACCTTCCGATCATCAGCCCACCTCACTATCCATTACCATCAAAAAAATATATACCGTAATTTTCGGACTATAAGGCGCACCTGAATATAAGCCGCAGCAGCTAAATTGAATGATGTGTACATATATAAGCCGGGCTTATATATGTACACATCATTCAATTTAGCTGCTGCGGCTTATATTCAGGTGCGCCTTATAGTCCGAAAATTACGGTATATATTTTTTTGATGGTAANTCCAGTGTTTCCCATACATTGATTTATTTGTGGCGGGGCGCCACAATTAAATATCGTTCGCCACAAATGGATCTCCTAAAAACGTTTTTTTATATATATATATATTAATAATAATAATTTTGTTTTAGAAAAAAAGAATAAAAAAAAATATATANGGTTCCATTTCTTCTGATTACCTAATTTGGGCGTTCACATTTGCACAACCTACGTCTTTTGGATTTGGAAAGGTTGGCATGTATGAACTTTCACAACTATGCGACACTAAACTGAAATGTAGTTTTGAGGAAGCTATAAATAACTTCCTAAATGAAATTATAAGACTTCCCGATATTCATAACTAACCTGTTTGACCATGTGTTGTGTGACTTTAATTAACCACTTTATAAACACGTCAAGCTGACGTTGCAGTCACATGTGTTTTTATCTGTGTCGTCATTTCCCACCACAGCAACTTCTTGTTTTTCAGTACAACATTTACATTTCTCTGCTGACACAGCTATTGATTTAAAACCAGATCGCAGTGCAAATATCTCCGTACCTGTTGGAGAGTGGCCAACCGTCCCTGAAGACACACAGATGTTGTGGTCTGCTCGGCTCACGTGCTGAAGCATGTCTCTGTGAGGGAAAAAGGATGGCTTATTAAAAATAAATGTGAATGCAGAGTATTTGACTAGATAGTACACAACCTGGTTACAATGGATTTGAGCTATTAACACAATTTGAACAGCCCTAATATCATACAAGACTTTACTGGCAACAATACACCTTAAAAAATATAAAAGCACCAATCAGAATAGGTTATGCAAGTTGTAGAAAATATAGAAGAGCTCTGAACCCGTTTCTCTTTCGATCCAGTACAGATCACTGCATGCTTTTATTACCTGTAGAATTGATTTCTGTATTGTTCTACTTTCTGGTCTAACCTAAAAGAATATTGCGTGATTTCAACTCCTCATCAGTTTATAAGAAATCAGGTAACAGTGGTCTTCTCTTGCATCAACTTCTGCAAAGTGGGTGGGGGGGCTTAAAGGGGTCTTTTTGCAGTCATTGCAGAGCAACACTATAGATTCAGTTAGACACTTCTACTCAGAGCGGATCAAGTGGGTGTGTGTGAGAGAGAGAGAGAGAGAGAGAGAGAGAGAGAGAGAGAGAGAGAGAGATTAAACACACACGCACAAGGATTACTGAGAAATCTAATTTGATGCTTTTGCATTAACAAGAACTCCTTTTGGCAAAAAAGTCTGGTTTACAGATAAGGTTCATTTGAAGTCTGTTATCATGTTGCTGCATATGTTAAAGTAAGAATGTAAAAATAATATCACTTATATATCAGTATGTAGTGTCTATACTTTAAAGAGTCCTCTCCTGCTGATGTTCAGGTGTATATCAGTATGTAGTGTCTCTACTTTAAAGAGTCCTCTCCTGCTGATGTTCAGGTGTATATCAGTATGTAGTGTCTCTACTTTAAA